GACATCCCTCCAAATAACAAGAAATCCCTCAAAAAAGCAAGACATCCCTCTAAATATTAAGACATCCCTTCAAATAACAAGACATCCCTCTAAATAACAAGACATCCCTCTAAATAACAAGACATCCCTCTAAATAAAAAGACATCCCTCTAAATAACTAGACATCCCTCCAAATACCAAGACATCCCTCTAAATAACAAGACATCCCTCTAAATAACAAGACATACCTCCAAATAACGAAACATCCCTCTAAATTATAAGACATCCCTCTTAATAACAAGCATCCCTCTAAATAACAAGACATCCCTCTAAATAAAAAGACATCCCTCTAAATAACTAGACATCCCTCCAAATACCAAGACATCCCTCTAAATAACAAGACATCCCTCTAAATAACAAGACATACCTCCAAATAACGAAACATCCCTCTAAATTATAAGACATCCCTCTTAATAACAAGCATCCCTCCAAATAACAAGACATCCCTCTAAATAACAAGACATCCCTCCAAATATGAAGACATCCCTCTAAATAACAAGACATCCCTCTAAATAACAAGACATCCCTCTAATAAACTAGACATTCCGCTAAATATTAAGACATCCCTCTAAATAACAAGACATCCCTCCAAATACCAAGATATCCCTCTAAATATTAAGACATCCCTCCAAATAACAAAAAAACCCTTTAAAAATCAAGACATCCCTCTAAATAACAAGACATCCCTCTAAATAACAAGACATCCCTCTAAATATTAAGACATCCCTCCAAATAACAAGACATCCCTCTAAATATTAAGACATCCCTCTAAATAACAAGACATCCCTCTAAATATTAAGACATCCCTTTAAATAACAAGACATCTCTCTAAATAACAAGACATCCCTCTAAATAACAAGACATCCCACTAAATAACAAGACGTCCCTCTAAATAACAAGACATCCCTTTTAAATAACAAGACATTCCTCTAAATAACAAGACATCCCTCTAAATAACAAGACATCCCTCCAAATAAAAAGACATCCCTCTAAATAGCAAGACATCCCTCTAAATAACAAGACATCCCTCCAAATAACAAGATATCCCTCTAAATAACAAGACATTCCTCCAAATAACAAGACTTCCCTCCAAATAAGAAGACATCCCTCTAAATAACAAGACATCCCTCTAAATAACAAGACATCCCTCTAAATACTAAGACATCCCTCTAAATATTAAGACATCCCTCCAAATAACAAGACAACCCTTTAAAAAACAAGACATCCCTCTAAATAACAAGACATCCCTCTAAATAACAAGACATCCCTCTAAATATTAAGACATCAATTCAAATAACAAGACATCCCTCTAAATATTAAGACATCCCTCTAAATAACAAGACATCACTCTAAATATTAAGACATCCCTTTAAATAACAAGACATCTCTCTAAATAACAAGACATCCCTCTAAATAACAAGACATCCCTCTAAATATTAAGACATCCCTCCAAATAACAAGACATCCCTCTAAATATTAAGACATCCCTCTAAATAACAAGACATCCCTCTAAATATTAAGACATCCCTTTAAATAACAAGACATCTCTCTAAATAACAAGACATCCCTCTAAATAACAAGACATCCCACTAAATAACAAGACATCCCTCTAAATAACAAGACATCCCTTTTAAATAACAAGACATTCCTCTAAATAACAAGACATCCCTCTAAATAACAAGACATCCCTCCAAATAACAAGAAATCCCTCAAAATAGCAAGACATCCCTCTAAATATTAAGACATCCCTTCAAATAACAAGACATCCCTCTAAATAACAAGACATCCCTCTAAATAACAAGACATCCCTCTAAATAAAAAGACATCCCTCTAAATAACTAGACATCCCTCCAAATACCAAGACATCCCTCTAAATAAAAAGACATCCCTCTAAATAAAAAGACATCCCTCTAAATAACTAGACATCCCTCCAAATACCAAGACATCCCTCTAAATAACAAGACATCCCTCTAAATAACAAGACATACCTCCAAATAACAAGACATCCCTCTAAATTATAAGACATCCCTCTTAATAACAAGCATCCCTCCAAATAACAAGAAATCCCTCTAAATAACAAGACATCCCTCCAAATATGAAGACATCCCTCCAAATATGAAGACATCCCTCTAAATAACAAGACATCCCTCTAAATAACAAGACATCCCTCTAAATAACAAGACATCTCTCTAAATATTAAGACATCCCTTCAAATAACAAGACATCCCTCTAAATAACAAGACATCCCTCTAAATAACAAGACATCCCTCTAAATAACAAGACATCCCTCTAAATAACAAGACATCCCTCTAAATAACAAGACATCCCTTTTAAATAACAAGACATTCCTCTTAATAACAAGACATCCCTCTAAATAACAAGACATCCCTCCAAATAAAAAGACATCCCTCTAAATATTAAGACATCAATCTAAATAACAAGACATCCCTCCAAAAAACAAGACAACCCTCTAAAAAACAAAAAAACCCTCTAAATAACAAGACATCTCTCTAAAAAACAAGACATCCCTCTAAATATCAAGACATCCCTCTAAATAACAAGACATCCATCTATATAACAAGACATTCCTCTAAATATTAAGACATCCCTCTAAATAACAAGACATACCTGTAAATAACAAGACATCCCTCTAAATAACAAGACATCCCTCTAAATATTAAGACATCCCTTTAAATAACAAGACATCTCTCTAAATAACAAGACATCCCTCTAAATAACAAGACATCCCACTAAATAACAAGACATCCCTCTAAATAACAAGACATCCCTTTTAAATAACAAGACATTCCTCTAAATAACAAGACATCCCTCTAAATAACAAGACATCCCTCCAAATAACAAGAAATCCTTAAAAATAGCAAGACATCCCTCTAAATATTAAGACATCCCTTCAAATAACAAGACATCCCTCTAAATAACAAGACATCCCTCTAAATAACAAGACATCCCTCTAAATAAAAAGACATCCCTCTAAATAACTAGACATCCCTCCAAATACCAAGACATCCCTCTAAATAACAAGACATCCCTCTAAATAAAAAGACATCCCTCTAAATAACTAGACATCCCTCCAAATACCAAGACATCCCTCTAAATAACAAGACATCCCTCTAAATAACAAGACATACCTCCAAATAACAAGACATCCCTCTAAATTATAAGACATCCCTCTTAATAACAAGCATCCCTCCAAATAACAAGACATCCCTCTAAATAACAAGACATCCCTCCAAATATGAAGACATCCCTCCAAATATGAAGACATCCCTCTAAATAACAAGACATCCCTCTAAATAACAAGACATCCCTCTAAATAACAAGACATCTCTCTAAATATTAAGACATCCCTTCAAATAACAAGACATCCCTCTAAATAACAAGACATCCCTCTAAATAACAAGACATCCCTCTAAATAACAAGACATCCCTCTAAATAACAAGACATCCCTCTAAATAACAAGACATCCCACTAAATAACAAGACATCCCTCTAAATAACAAGACATCCCTTTTAAATAACAAGACATTCCTCTAAATAACAAGACATCCCTCTAAATAACAAGACATCCCTCCAAATAACAAGAAATCCCTCAAAATAGCAAGACATCCCTCTAAATATTAAGACATCCCTTCAAATAACAAGACATCCCTCTAAATAACAAGACATCCCTCTAAATAACAAGACATCCCTCTAAATAAAAAGACATCCCTCTAAATAACTAGACATCCCTCCAAATACCAAGACATCCCTCTAAATAACAAGACATCCCTCTAAATAAAAAGACATCCCTCTAAATAACTAGACATCCCTCCAAATACCAAGACATCCCTCTAAATAACAAGACATCCCTCTAAATAACAAGACATACCTCCAAATAACAAGACATCCCTCTAAATTATAAGACATCCCTCTTAATAACAAGCATCCCTCCAAATAACAAGACATCCCTCTAAATAACAAGACATCCCTCCAAATATGAAGACATCCCTCCAAATATGAAGACATCCCTCTAAATAACAAGACATCCCTCTAAATAACAAGACATCCCTCTAAATAACAAGACATCTCTCTAAATATTAAGACATCCCTTCAAATAACAAGACATCCCTCTAAATAACAAGACATCCCTCTAAATAACAAGACATCCCTCTAAATAACAAGACATCCCTCTAAATAACAAGACATCCCTCTAAATAACAAGACATCCCTTTTAAATAACAAGACATTCCTCTAAATAACAAGACATCCCTCTAAATAACAAGACATCCCTCCAAATAAAAAGACATCCCTCTAAATATTAAGACATCAATCTAAATAACAAGACATCCCTCCAAATAACCAGACAACCCTCTAAAAAACAAAAAAACCCTCTAAATAACAAGACATCTCTCTAAAAAACAAGACATCCCTCTAAATATCAAGACATCCCTCTAAATAACAAGACATCCATCTATATAACAAGACATTCCTCTAAATATTAAGACATCCCTCTAAATAACAAGACATACCTGTAAATAACAAGACATCCCTCTAAATAACAAGACATCCCATCTAAATTACAAGACAACCCTCTAAAAAACAAGACATCCCTTAAGACATTCCGCTAAATATTAAGACATCCCTCTAAATAACAAGACATCCCTCTAAATACCAAGACATCCCTCTAAATATTAAGACATCCCTCCAAATAACAAGACAACCCTTTAAAAAACAAGACATCCCTCTACCATTCATCCAAGATGGCGCCTACTAGATGTGGCTCGGCTGATTGCAAAAGAAATATTACGAAGAACAGTAAATGTATCAAGTGTTTTGGATATTGTCTGTCGTGGTTTCACATTTCGTGTGCCGGGCTATCAAACGAAGAGTTAAATATTTTTAAGGAGTTAGGAGATAAGGCTTTTTTCAAGTGTGATACGTGCCGGTCGTCATCCGCAACGATGCCGCCGCCGTCGTCTGCTCCCTGCTCAGCAAGTTCTGTGAAAAATGACGATGAATGTGATGTACCATATTCTGATGACTCATTTCAATCTCTCTCGGATAAAGTGTGCAATTTAATAATCACGCAAAATAAGATGAGTGAGCAAATTATGTTTTTACTCAGTGAAAATGACAAGCTGAAGAACGGACTGAAACACCAGTCTGAAATCATTGGTGATATCGTTTTTGACAAGTCTACTAATAACACGTATGCTAGCAAACTAAAATCACAGAATTTAAAGAGAGGTGAAGGTAGTATTCAAAATCTAACTTCCTTAAATTGTAATCTTATCGATAAGGATATTCTTAAACCTAACCCTAGTATGCTTGACAGTAATGAAAATGTCAACAACAACAACAACAACAACAACAACGTTGAACAGACAGCTAGTGACAAATCTGTTGTTAGTGGTCATAGAGTAAAAGAGTCGACTATGACGAGCTCGTTGCTTCGAAACCCAGAAGGCCGACCGACTACATCCAAGTCTGAATCTGCAGCAGCGGAGTCAAATAGGAGTGAGATGGCAGCTGAATCCGATTCGTTCCAGACAGTCTCCTATCGGAAGCGAAATATGCGTCGTGACTTTCAACAACATCAACAGAAGAGTCAGAATAATGGAGGCCGTGGCGTTGGAAATGTCAGTTACAGACAAAATCAAAACAATAACAAACCTAAATTTATTACTGGAAGTTCAAGTGCAGCTGATGGCGATAGGCTTAAAACTGCTGAAAAGAAGTCGTTCCTGTTTGTATCTAGGCTATCACCGGACACTGACTCTAAGGATTTGGAATCTTTCCTATTAGAAAAATTTAGCAATGAATCGTTTAAAGTAGAATCACTAAATTCTAAGTACCCGGAGGAATACTGTTCATTTAAAGTCACCATTCCTTCCAGGATTGACGAAGTAGTGTATAAACCTGACTTCTGGCCGAAGGGAGTGTTTGTGAACAGGTTTGTTGTCAAGAAATCTTTAAACTTACAGGACAAACGAGTTGTACCTCCAATGTGACTGACTTTGAAAACCAGGTAAGCACTGACGTAGCCAACCCTTGTGCACATATAATTGACGTAGGCCTAGGCCTAAACAATTTTAACTTCAATACCTTGCTATGGAACTGCCGTAATCTTTGTGACAAGGTCAACTACGTTGAAATATTTGCTAATGACGAAAACAGTGATGTTGTTTTTATTACTGAACATTGGCTTTTGGATTCTGACATAAAATCATTACATCTAGAAAACTTTACACTATGTTCAAGCTTTAGTAGGCCTCGGTTAGAAAGAGGAGGTTCAGCAATATTTATTAGGGACAACAAAGCTATTAATTGGTCTCCTGCGCCTATTATTACCAGTTTAGCCTTGGTAAATGTCTTTGAAATTAGTGCTCTCTTCCTAGACAATCCGAAGATTTTATTGGTGTGCATTTATCGAATCCCAGACAAAGACAATACTGAGTTATTCTTGCTCAAATTCGAAGAACTTTTAACTGTAACAGCATCCTTGGAATGTGATGTTCTTATAGCTGGTGACTTCAACATCGATGTTAAAGATAACGTATCTCACGTCTGTCAAGATTTTTGTAACTTAATTACAAGTTTTGGGCTCAACATTATGCTAAGAGACGAAGTAACTCGACCCAGCCTTTTAAATATGCTTGATGGTTCGTGCATTGACAATTATGTAACCAATTTGCATCCCTCGAGGTGGAAGGCTACTGTTATTCCGACTACGGCGTCTGATCACTACATCGTAAGTTCATCTATGTGTTTGGACTTGGCTCCTGCTTCCACACAGTCACATCCTCCGAGGTCCATGGGTGCGTTACAGTCCAGGCGCAGGGTGTCAGACAATAACGCTGGTGTTTTTTGTAATCATATCAAGGATACAAACTGGAATGAAATCTACAGCGTAGATGATGTAAATACTAAGATATTGTTATTTCTTAATCTAGTCATTATTTTTGTAAATTGTTGTTTTCCTTACGTTAGGCCAAGATCTGCTAAACCACGCAAACACATTGGTAATTGGTATACTGGTGAACTTAGGAAGTTAAAAGAAGAATGTTTGAATTATTTTTATCTAAGTAAAGATACTGGTTGTGAAGCTTTTAAGGTTAGGTACAAGTTATTAACTAAGATCTATAATAAGAAAGTAAAGGAAGCTAAGTTATTGTTCAATAACTCATGTATTTCTAATGCCTGCAACAAGCCCAGGGTAATGTGGAATATTATTAGAAAAAATATCTCAACAAATGAGCGCCCAGTTGTTATATTACCAGATGTTGATTCACCTTTAAACTCAGAAAATTTTAACTCTTTTTTTGTAAGTAGTATTAATGATATTGTTGATAACATTCCTGTTAGTTTAACCAGTGCCGATGAGTATATGTCTAGTGTTCCTTTGTGTAATGTTAAATTTGAATTTTGTGAGGTTTCAGTAGAATGTGTACATAAAGCTATTTTGTCTTTAAGCAGCAGCAGCAGTCTTGATATTTTTGGTTTAAGTTCTCAGATTCTAAAGTTTGGTAGTGATTATTTATGTGAAGTCATTGCACACATCATTAACTCCTGTATTACGGGAAAAACTTTCCCAGACAAACTTAAAATTTCTAAGATAGTGCCAATATTTAAAAAAGGGAATAGATTGGATGTTAGCAATTATAGGCCTGTGGCCTTGGTGCCCACTCTGTCGAAGGTCATTGAGAGGGTGCTTTCATGGCAAATAGTTAACTTTCTGGATTCAAACGGTTTGCTTTCGTGTGCGCAATTTGGTTTCCGCAAGCACCGATCCACTACGGAGGCGGTCTTAAATTACATTCAGGACACTCTAGAGGCCATGGAAAGAAAACAAGGTGTTTGCTCAAAATTTTTTGATCTCTCAAGGGCCTTCGACACTGTGTCTCACAGTGTTTTACTAGGCAAACTAAAGTCATTTGGTTTTTGTGATAATGCCGTGTCTTTGATTGAGTCATATCTGAGCAACAGATTCCAGGCTGTTTATTTCCAGGATTCACTGTCAGAGCTTAAACACACTCCCCACGGAGTGCCACAAGGGTCCATTTTAGGCCCCCTACTCTTCATTATTTATGTTAATGACTTACCTTTTAATGTCCAAAGTAATGATGTTTCATGTTTTATGTATGCAGACGACGTGTAATTGAATATCAAGTCTACTAAGTGTATGCAGGACAGTGTAATTTCTGAGTCTGTTAAAACAATGTCCGACTGGTGTAAGGCCAATAAGCTGTCTCTTAACGTAAACAAAACTCAAAATCTGGAAATGACCTATGGTAACTCTAAGAATTCTCAAACTCCAGTCAAATTCTTAGGTGTGATGATACAGAGCAACCTAAAATGGTTTTCCCATATTGATTTTACCGCTCCAAAACTCTCCAAAGGAATTTTTATTTTAAGAAATTTAAAATCAATTGTTTCTCAAGATGTATTGTTAACTGTGTATTTTAGTTATGTTCATTGCCATTTAGTATATAGTGCCATTCTCTGGGCTAATTGTAGCCATGCCAACATCTTGTTTGTTTTACAAAAAAGAGCCATTAGACTGTTAAGTAATGCTCCCCCACGTAGTCATTGTAAGCCTATATTTAAGAAATTGTCTGTGATGCCCTTAACCTGTATTTATATTTTTCAATGTCTGTTATATGTTAAAAACAACTGTGATATTTTACTTTGTAATAAGGATGTGCACAAGTATGCCACAAGGAATTGTAATAATTTAAGAATAGATCAGTGCCTTTATGCCACCACTCAAGCTAGCTTCAAATATACCGCTACCAAATTGTACAACAAGTTACCAGTTAAAGTTAAAAAGTTACCATTAAATGTTTTTAAAGTAGCCATCAAGAGAATTCTTCTAAAAAACTGTTTTTATAAAATAGAAGATTATTTTGCCTCAACCTTAGATTAGTTTTAAGTTGTATTATATTGTTGACGCAGCCTATACACTATTGTACTTTTCACAATTTGTGTCTATGGAATAAAGATGATTTGATTTGATTTGATTTGATTTGATTTGAAATAACAAGACATCCCTCTAAATAACAAGACATCCCTCTAAATAACAAGACATCCCTCTAAATATTAAGACATCCCTTCAAATAACAAGACATCCCTCTAAATATTAAGACATCCCTCTAAATAACAAGACATCCCTCTAAATATTAAGACATCCCTTTAAATAACAAGACATCTCTCTAAATAACAAGACATCCCTCTAAATAACAAGACATCCCACTAAATAACAAGACATCCCTCTAAATAACAAGACATCCCTTTTAAATAACAAGACATTCCTCTAAATAACAAGACATCCCTCTAAATAACAAGACATCCCTCCAAATAAAAAGACATCCCTCTAAATAGCAAGACATCCCTCTAATAAACAAGACATTCCGCTAAATATTAAGACATCCCTCTAAATATTAAGACATCCCTTTAAATAACAAGACATCTCTCTAAATAACAAGACATCCCTCTAAATAACAAGACATCCCACTAAATAACAAGACATCCCTCTAAATAACAAGACATCCCTTTTAAATAACAAGACATTCCTCTAAATAACAAGACATCCCTCTAAATAACAAGACATCCCTTTTAAATAACAAGACATTCCTCTAAATAACAAGACATCCCTCTAAATAACAAGACATCCCTCCAAATAAAAAGACATCCCTCTAAATAGCAAGACATCCCTCTAATAAACAAGACATTCCGCTAAATATTAAGACATCCCTCTAAATAACAAGACATCCCATCTAAATTACAAGACAACCCTCTAAAAAACAAGACATCCCTCCAAATAACAAGACAACCCTCTAAAAAACAAGACATCCCTCTAAATAAAAAGACATCTCTCCAAATAACAAGACATCCCTCTAAATAACAAGACATCCCATCTAAATTACAAGACAACCCTCTAAAAAACAAGACATCCCTCTAAATAACAAGACATCCCTCTAAATAACAAGACATCCCTCTAAATATTAAGACATCCCTTTAAATAACAAGACATCTCTCTAAATAACAAGACATCCCTCTAAATATTAAGACATCCCTTCAAATAACAAGACATCCCTCTAAATATTAAGACATCCCTCTAAATAACAAGACATCCCTCTAAATAACAAGACATCCCACTAAATAAACAGACATCCCTCTAAATAACAAGACATCCCTTTTAAATAACAAGACATTCCTCTAAATAACAAGACATCCCTCTAAATAACAAGACATCCCTCCAAATAAAAAGACATCCCTCTAAATAGCAAGACATCCCTCTAATAAACAAGACATTCCGCTAAATATTAAGACATCCCTCTAAATATTAAGACATCCCTTTAAATAACAAGACATCTCTCTAAATAACAAGACATCCCTCTAAATAACAAGACATCCCACTAAATAACAAGACATCCCTCTAAATAACAAGACATCCCTTTTAAATAACAAGACATTCCTCTAAATAACAAGACATCCCTCTAAATAACAAGACATCCCTCCAAATAAAAAGACATCCCTCTAAATAGCAAGACATCCCTCTAATAAACAAGACATTCCGCTAAATATTAAGACATCCCTCTAAATAACAAGACATCCCATCTAAATTACAAGACAACCCTCTAAAAAACAAGACATCCCTCCAAATAACAAGACAACCCTCTAAAAAACAAGACATCCCTCTAAATAAAAAGACATCTCTCCAAATAACAAGACATCCCTCTAAATAACAAGACATCCCATCTAAATTACAAGACAACCCTCTAAAAAACAAGACATCCCTCTAAATAACAAGACATCCCTCTAAATAACAAGACATCCCTCTAAATATTAAGACATCCCTCCAAATAACAAGACATCCCTCTAAATATTAAGACATCCCTCTAAATAACAAGACATCCCTCTAAATATTAAGACATCCCTTTAAATAACAAGACATCTCTCTAAATAACAAGACATCCCTCTAAATAACAAGACATCCCTCCAAATAAAA